GCTTATATATTGCGTACAAAAGTCGTGGGCCAAAGCTCTCCTATTCCTAGTCCAAATCGGCTTCAGGGATTGATGCTAAGGTGGATGCGACGCATCCACCTCGTCCTCCATTTCAATTTTGCCTGCGAAGGTGGATGCGACGCATCCACCCCTAGTTCCTCCATCTCATCTTTGCCCAGGTGCGGATGCTATGACGGATGCTATGGGCTGACTTCACTGCTAAGGGTGCGCGAACTGATCTTTTTCTAGATTGGATGCGACGCATCCAATCTCTCTTCCTCTACCTAGAGCACCTTTTCTTCATATTTTTGCACTCCAAATACCCTAATTCACCACACACAACTCAATTAGTCATAAAACCAATAATTAAACCATGTTGGGCATTTTAAAGGTCAAATAACATCAAGAAGCGGTTAAAACATGAGTAAAGTAACATCAACACATATCGAAATATGCCAAACATCAGCTCTCAACAAGATGATGATGATAAACTATTAAGTAAAATAGCACCAGGTGATATGGATCTAAAAGATAGCAGCAGTTAGTTAACAAGATGATAAACTATTGTGAAAAATAAAGTATAGCAACAGTGAAATAAATTAGCCGTCGACAGAACTTTAGGAATCAATTTTTCGTGAAAACACTTATGGATAATGGAGTTGGACTTAACAATACCAATTAACGAAATTCCTGTTAGGTCACCAGAGCTGCTCGTTGCCTGCGATTATCTGTCTCGATTGCTTGAAATTTTTGAGCATTCTCATAAAGTGAATCAACACCAGATGTGCAATAAGGAGACATTCTCTTTAGGGATCTTGATGAGATTAAACAAGACTCTTGTCCTCTATTTTTTCCTTCAGTGGCTAAACCATCAGTTTCTCCAAGAACTTTAGTATGGGCATCAAGTTGCAGCTTGATCACAATCCTACAAAAGAAAAGAATAGTGCGATCAGGGAAGGCAAGGAAAGAAACAGATTCTGAATTTTTTATACAAATTATTAAAAGACACACCATATGCATCAAATATAAATTCACCTGCTTATTACTATAAGCACATCAAATACAATACTGTATAAGGACAACTAAATAGACGTATAAAAGTGTTCTCACTTCGCATAGAGGCTACCGAAACTGCCATCAATTAGAATAATAATTTATAATTCGATTTGATGCGTATAATCTAGAACACTTAACCAGCAAGGTCAAACCCACTTCCCATATTATTCAAGCTACAAGGACTATACCTTGTCAAGTCCATTTTTGCTACAGAGACCGAACTCATAGAAACACATATACACAAATAAAATAATTCTCATAAAAAGATCTAGTTAAAAAGATATATGGACTCAAACAAAACATAATGGATCTGACGTAGACAGTAATACAAAATAATCCTGTCAAATGAACTTTTTCTAATTAAAAACAAAGGCAGGGAAATAGCAGATAAATCATGAGAGCAACTCCAACTTATTACAAACTTTTATAACAACCTTAGATTTCTCTGTAAAGCCAAAACAAAATAATAAAATGAAAAAGAATATGTACCTTTCTGATCAAAATCCATTTGCCATCTTTCCAATTTTGTCGATCTCTCATGCCTGATATATGAATGCTAAGTTTCAGAGAGCAACCAAGTAGTCTCACCAAATAACGATCACGTGGTAACATACTGAGCACGATGGCAACTTTCCAAGAGCAGTCATTATATACCTCCACAATGTCCCCAGGTGCCCAAGTCTCCACATACTGCACTACAGGGGGCAGGGCCTTATCATCTTCCTTGATACCCTTTCTTCGATATTTTCACTTTACATTGGTGAACCAGAACCATATCTGACAACTGCAACTGTGGCCATTACCAGACACTATCTCGACAGCTAAAGGGATGCAGAAATATTGCAATAGTGTAAGTTTGACGCATTATATGACCAGTAGTAATATTTTCATTAGCATCAAAGCAGAATTGTCTTACTTTGGCAAATGAGATGGAAAGCTAACCAATGATGTTAGGTATAGCAGCTATCATTAAAGACTGCAAATAGGACAAGAAACTCGAGTATCCACTTGTACAAAATAGGCAAGCAAAAGAAAAGGGGAAGCAGAATTCCTAGTGATGTCATTATCTTACCCCTTTCCCCCAATGTACTCGGCAATTTGACCACTAGATATTGCTCCGACCATAGCACCCACATTAGATAACGAACCGAACAAAGAGAACTGAAAAGATTAACTTTAGTCAGAAATTGCTCTCAAGCAAATGAATCGAAATATATAAAGCAAGAATGACTCGTTACCTAAGAAACAGTGAGCTTCAGATCTTTGGTAATAGTAGTTTGCGCAGGCAAAGAATAACCAGACTACAGTAACAATAACAACAAGAACAAAAAATGTAAAACAATAGATCAAGCAGAGACATATATACGCACACAAACACATATACATACATACATATATACATACATAGCAGCAATATAAAACTGGTATGCATCCACGACAGTGCAAGTTACACAGAGACACTTCAACCTCTACATTAACTACGCATTTAGTTAGAAAATTGCCATAACAAATTGTAATCCCAGAAAAGAAATTGTATTCCCAATAAATAAGTAACTTTTATGCCAAGTGATCCTTTATGACTTAATATCAGCCAAGAAATTGCAGACTACATAATGAAAACTTCAATCTCTAAAATTACTACAGATTTAGGTTACAAGAATCAATAGAAATCTCAATAAAGACTCCGCCTTTTAGCCAAAATTGATCCTTTAACCACTAAGAAAGAAAGGTAAAACAGGCAACAAAAAATCACATGTAGTACTATCACACTTTTCATTGAAGGAATAAGTTGGAAACAGAGAGAAGCCATTATACATTTTAAGAAGTATGTCCATCCTTTTTGTATTTGTGCAGAATCGATCACTTCACAAATTACGACAATTATTCTTTTGCAGTCAAAACCTTTGATGTGTAAGAAAGATGATGATCACATGAGCATTATTTACAACCATTCTTATATCATTTAGCCCAAGCGAAATCAGAACAAAAACCATTGATACTCCTCAAGAGAAATACACATAGAGATGAATCACAAACAGTTAAAAAATAGAGAAGACAGAAATATGCATAAGAAATTTAACAGAAATGGTAATTCATTGAAGAATTTTCTCAAACACCTAGAGACCAAAATCCGTTGATACTCCTCAAGAGAAATATGGATAAAGATGAATCAAAGAGATGACAAAAGAGGTACCCACCAGAAAATACTATTGACGGAAGAAAACACACTGAAGTGCACACTTGACAACAAGAGGAAAGACGGAGAGCACAGACATTCTGGATTTTTCTTAAGTTTGAAGATGGTGTTACCTCTACACGATTGTTCGAGATTTAGCTGAGAAACCAGCGGTACTTCCACGCGCTAAAATTGGAATCCACGTGTTAAGCTATATAATCAAATGTATAGCTGTGAAAGTTTTAAAATGATAAAAATATCCTCATTTTAATTTTTATTTTCATATAAGCACACATGTTGACCTTGAGGTGCCAACTATTCCCTCTTATTAGTGAGTAGTAATATATGTCATAAGGATGAGTCATAGGTGCTGCCTCTCTTACCATGCCACGTTTAAGGCTATTTGAATTCCCAGTCCCAAATTGTTGGTATGTACTCCTTAGTCCATATACCCCCAAAATGAAATTTCCTCTTCCCTTTGTTGGATGTAGCAATAATTTGTCATTAACCTCCTTGTCCTTGTCCTTGTAATAGCAGCGAAGTGTCACATTAGTTTTTCAGTTAAAAATCTTCTTCCATCTTTATGTCCAGTCGACTCTGGCCAATACACTTGTCTTCCATTCTATGCTCTTAACCTCGCTCAGTGTAAAGCTGCGAAGTGTCACCTTCATTTTGTTCTAGTTGCGTAAGTTGCACTATTGCAATCAAATATCTTCTTCCAATCTTTTAATTATTACTCCTCTCTTTATCTCCCAGCCGACACTCACCACCTGTCTTCAACTCTCTGCTGCCACGATCACTCTTCGTTATCCTAAAACCCTCAACTCCATTAGTCACTTAACACCTGTTATGCCTCGAACTAGCCTTTCCAGCTTCTCCTTTCCCTATATAAATCTCAACTCCCCGCAGCTCACTCCATCACAACAAACCAAACTGCAAGTAGAATAATATTCTAGTTCTCTTAATTCGTCTAGCTTTGTTTGTTCAAGTTTTCTTTACTAGAAAGAGATGGCACAATACAACGAGGGATACGGTAGCCAGGGGCAAATGCGCCAGACTGATGAATATGGAAACCGGGTCCAAGAAAGTGGGGGCATGGGCAGTACTGGTGCCTATGGAACTCAGCAAGGTATGGGGGGCATAGGTGGTGGAGAATATGGAACCCAAGGCCAAGGTACTGGTATGGGGACCACTGGTGGTGGAGCCTATGGAACTCAGGGTGGTACTGGAATGGGGGCTATGGGTGGAGATCAGTATGGAACCCAAGGTACTGGAATGGGTATGGGTACTGGTGGTATGCATACTCAGCACCATGAGGGCCAACAACAGCTTCGTCGATCCGACAGCTCTAGCTCTGTAAGTTAAAGATCTTTCACATGGAGTATATAAAAGTGTCATTTCTTTCAAAGACAAAAGAAAAAGGAAAGTGTCATATAAAATGGAATATTGGGAGTTTTTTGTTCCTCCATTTGATATTACTTTGTGAAATATACCCTTCTAACGTGATTTTATTTATGTGGTTTAATTTGCAGTCTGAGGATGATGGAGAAGGTGGAAGAAGGAAGAAGGGAATGAAGGAGAAGATAATGGAGAAGATGCCAGGAGGACATGCCCAACAGGAAGGTGAGTATAACCAACATGCGCAAACAACTTATACTAGTACTGAAGGAGGAGAGAAGAAGGGAATGATGGACAAAATCAAGGACAAGATCCCTGGGATGCACTGAGAACAAGTTGATCAGCTTGTTCCTTAATTTGTTTTCATTTCCAGCTTATAAGTAACAAATAAGTGTCTAAAAAGCGCTTGATTTTATTTCATGCACTCGTGAGTCGTGAGTTTTCTTCACGTTGTATGTTTGAAGTTGTGTAAGGGCAATGTGCTGACTCTATGTGTATATAGGCGGCGGCCATGCTCGCTTCTGTGTATTAAGAAGAACAGTGAGTTTACTACTCAATATGTATCTTGTTAAGGTGTTGTGGTGTCCCATGTTTAATGCTGTACGTACTCTTTGGAACTAATATATGAGTTTAAGTTGTGTTGTATAATTTTACACTATCTAAGTTTAGTTGACATATAATAGTACTCCATAATGGTAACTCTTAAAAGAGGGCTAAATGGGTCTCTTGAACTGTTTTTTTTTTTTTTTTTTTTTTTTGTTTATGTCCTTTAATTTTTCCTTTGTGGTATCATTTTCTTCCTTCTAGATTGTAGTCTTAGGATGTTATTTCTGTTGTTGTGACTACTATTATTATGAATGAATAAGTTGTGCTCTTCAAATTTTATTCAAACAATAAACTACTACGTAATTTTATGGTAACAAATGAAAGGGAAAGAAATTAAGAAGGAAGCTCGATTATCCATATTTACTACGAATAAAGATTAGGGGGGGAAACTTAACTATGCAATCAAACATGTGAATAGAACTCTTCTTACACATTGTGGATCTATTTGGACCTTGAGCGTACGTATCTGTATTGAACATGGGCTGGTAACACTCTCATTCAATAATTTTACGTTCATATGCATCAATGGCAAAGGTTTTTAACTCTTAATCTTTAACAAGTTGAACTTTAAGAAAGATAAATATCTTGTTCGATTAGTTTTCGTCATGTAACTGGAGAAGCGAGAAGGCAATTTAGTGCGTTATAACGTCCTGGTGAACTTCTATTTTGGATTAATCAAACCAATTTATGGGGAAGAAATTAATCTTCAAACGACTAGGAAAACATTTTGTCATCATGAGAGTTGTCCTAACTACACTAACAAGTACAAGCAAAAAGAAAACCAGGACCGCGTACATACAAAACTTTAAATGTTAGTTAAAATTCTAAACCTAAAGAGTGGTGAAAGTTACCGAAAGTAGACAGAAGCATATAAAAGTTTTTTAAAAAAAAATACAGAAGCACACAAAAGATAAAGAAAAAGGCCCAAAAGTGACCAAATTTGAAGATTTTGGCGCATTGAGATTTCATGTAGGCCCTTTTAGTTCAAGACTCACCCTCCCTAACATTTTAACATAGTTGGTCGGTCCCACAAAAATAACTACAATTGCAAGTCAAATATAACAAAATATATATACTAATTATGTACGAAATATGTTATATTATATATTAATGTATAAAAAATATATATTTATCGGCTATTATTTTGAGTGGACGAACTGTATAAAAATTGCAACATTATTTTTACCGCAATGGTTTATTCTCGCCAGAGAGAACGTTGTTACCTCTCTAGAACCTACTGAGCTTTTCATTATTTCATATGCATCAAAAATGAAAATAACATTTGCTAAGTTCATTGAAATTTATATAAATTAATACAGCACAGTGTTAGTTAGCTTCCATCAAGCTGTTTATTGATTAGTATTGTCTTATTTTCCAGAGTTGGGTACTTGGAAGTTGGACGTGGTTCCAGATTTCAATGTACTTCTTTGCACCAATAGATTTTAACTTTGTATACGGTTAAAATCGATCCTCGGCCATGAATATCGATCGAGGATGGCATTTCAATCAAGGGGTATCTTCATGGAGACCCCGAACGAATTCCGAGATGGATGCGTCGAGCTCGGGCGTTCGAATCGACCGAGGTAACATCGACTGATACAGGTCCCGAACATCGATGCCCAAAAGTGATCACCTAGCTCGAAACCAAGGCCGAGGTTCCGATCCGATACCGAGCTCGAGTCGGTATCGAGTTCACAGACAAAAAGCTGTTACAACCGCACCAAAGGAGAGAATCTCTGCGGGAATTAAGGAGAAGACACACCATCATGGGTCCTCCACTAGTAATATTTATTCCATCATGTTGCTATAGATAAAGTAGTGATCCTTGGCTATAAAAGGAAAGATAGTTTGTAATAGAAGGCACTTTTTGGCTGGGATTAAGAATTCATTGTGTTTATCCTTCTAAAGCTCACTAAATATTTTTGTTCATCATCTTCTATTTTTGTACCATAAATACGTGTATTGTTATTTTCAGATCAAAGAAATCTACTTGCCCTTAGAACCATACATAAATTCAACGTTATCCGATTCTTCGGGTAAACAGTTTGGTGTTTGGCGTCCACCGTGGGGCTAAGGATAACAAGTGATTATTTGATACAAATATACAGTATACTCCAGCTTACAACTTCATACTAGCAATGGCTCCGCCAATCGACCTCGAAGCCGGCCTTCAGGATGAAACCAACAACTCGGTGTCCGTGGCCGAAAGGCTACCCAACAACGGCAACGAGGCTCGAATCGAGGAACCCGAAATTCGAGCCGAAGTACCAGTAGATATCAATTCACGAATAGCTCTAGAAGCGAATCAACATTCCGAGCAGGAAAGAAGCGTTCAGGGTGGCGCTCGACCCATAGCCCGAGACACCTACAGCGCGGGGGAAATCGGGGTCAGCTTGCGTATGATTTTCGAAATGCTACAAGCCCAACAAGTAGCGATAGCTCAGTTGCAGAGCCAAACT